AGATTGTGTTAAATTACATTTGCAGAAATATCATCAATTTGCTTTATCTCAATACTACATAAACGTTTAATCTCATTTATTTTGAATATTTTGGAACATCGGCGAAAATGTTGAAATTTTTTGATCTCCTATACCGGCGATTAATCATAATCACGGGCCAAGTGTGTCGAATTTACGTTGCAAATTGTATTTAGTTCATTTAAATATTAATTTTGAACCGCATTGAAGGATTTACCTGATGCATAAATTAATGTTGACGATGATGAATGGACTCTCCTGTCGGTTTGGAATGCATAACAAAAATTTAGTATTCCGGCTCATTAGTTACTGAAAATAAATTGTTTCAACGAATATTCCTTCCTTGATTTTAAAGTTAATCTATGTGTTGAATTCTTAAACGCGAGTGTTAATAAACAAAATGTGTCACGCATTTTATGTTTACAATTCACATTCAATCTTATCGTGTTCGACTAATAAATTAATTCATTGAAAACAAGCGTATTTGATTCCATATTTTAATCAATTAAAACAGCGAGGCTCATTTGAGAGGATTATTTTACCCTGTATAAAACTGTAACATTTAACATTAATTAAATCTTAGATGGTCGACAATCCCAGTTAAAATAAATATGTTTCGTGCTATTTAATTATTTTTGAATGCTATCGATTTGTTTTCGGTTTTTCGATCCATATGTTAAAACGAGTCCTCCTGTATACTTTACATACATTGATAAATCTCAAGTATCTATTAACAAAAAAAATTGTATCAGATGAGGACGTTCAGTTGAGTACGAAACGCTTGTGCTCAATATTCTGTTCCAAAGTTTTGTAAAAAATTCGAAACGGCCGTAAATTTTTCCACATTGCTAATGTAGGTGTTTATTATCTAAATCCGCACTTAAAACGCGCATAAAATTAATCAAATTTTTTTTTCGTTTCAGATCCATTTCCTCGCCTCTCCAGACGTTCCGTTTGTATTCAACGGTGAATCGGAAAATATCGAAAAACGCGTTTGTTTCTTTTCGCTCGGCTTGGCAATTATCCAAGAAACCGTCAAATCGGTATATAATTCGGGTAGGAAAAGCGCGAAAGTGATATTATATGCGTTTGTGTTTCGGTTCATTATGCTTCTCGTCCCGGCTGAACAACAATTCCGCCGCTGACGAGGAAGCCACAGAGGTGTCGCCACAATCGAACGCCACCCCTACCATTGTCACCCTCAACGGAGATCGTAACAAAGTGGACCTCACCATGGCGAGCAACGCGGAATTATTGGTCAGTACATCAATTTACTATATTTTTTTATTTACCAATTAATGCCTCATTAAAGTCTACATAAAGTCTACTTAAAGTCCAGTTGTTGTCTACATAAAGTATAGCTATAGTGCAATCAATTAAAGTCCAGTGATAGTTATAGTCCACTGAAAGTTTAGTTAAAGTCAATTTGAAGCCTTGGTAGATGTCGATCAGTCTCTAACAATATTTTACCAATAAATAACAGATATGATAGACTAAAGTTTAGTTAAAGTCTACTTAAAGTTTACCTCAATTCTAGTTGAAGCCTACTTAAAGACAAAGGCCCGTATTCTGTGACCCATTTTAACTTTAGAGTGACTTTATAGTCGCCTCTTTAACTTGACAGATTTACATTGTTGTTATGGAGTAACTAAGGTCTCGAGACGCAACTTTAGAGTCACGCTAAAGTTAAAATGGGCCACTGAATACGGGCCAAAGTTATACATATAATCAAGTTAATGTCCACTTAAAGCCCAGTTAAGATCTACTGATAGTCTACTTAAAGTCTACTTATAGTAAAGTTTAAAGTCGAATTGATGCCTTAGTGGAAGTCGATCAGTCAGTAACAATAATTCGCCAATAAATAACAGATAAAATATTGGACTATTTATCTCCTACGATGATCATTGTGATTGTTACGAGCTAATTTGGATTTTTATAGAACTGTTGTGAACACATACAAATATCTCCATCAATGTTAAATTAATATTCGTTCGACACTTTAATCAGTCGATTAAAGTGAAATTATTAAAAATAGATACGTGGATATACTTCATTGTAATATTTATACGTACTATAATAATACAATACGTAATGTTTATCAGTACGAATACAATGCTATCGATAAATTGACGTAGATTAGAATTTTATTTTCGATACGTGTACTTGTTAAAAAATGCTCGGCAAATTATAAATTAATTTTTCGTTGTGCAACTTTATCGATTGTTCTAAGAATGGGTTTAAATAATGCGTTTAGAAGATTATTCAAGAAGAAATGTCATCAGGTATATTTTACTACAAATTTACTTTACAATTAGTCGAGTTAATGACTCGATCTTAATTATACTTTAAGTTTGTTTGACCAACTCCAAGTTTGTTAAAAATAACTTTAAAATCAATGCCAGCACCATCAAGATAACTAAAGTATTTATCTTCTTTCCTTACACTTTATGTCTAAGGAAGTAAAAGTTACTATTTTGGGCTTGTTCCAGACCATGCTGGTGGAGAAGGACAAGAAGATCATCGACTTGTCCAATCAGCTGCGCGCCATGGGAGAGGAATTCGAACAGCTGCAATCGCAGCTGAGGCAGCGCGAGCGCGAGATCAAAGACCTGCGCTCGCAGCTGGACAAATTCCAGAGCGTGATGCGCGTCCAACACCCGACCAGCAAGAAGAGGCCGCGCAAGCAAAGGGCCGGCATATCGGCGGAGCCTCAAAGCGAGGCCTCCATATTGGAGATGAGCAAGCAGTCCTTCCCCGTTTATCCCAAGAACGAAAGGTAAGTCCCTTGAATATTTTCGGAGGTTTTTGGTCTCAGTTTGGAAGGGTCTAAAAGGTCTACCTACAATTACTTCAGAGTACTTAAAGATGAGCCAAAGGAACAAATATTTCAGGAGGTTTTCTGGTCTTAATTTGGAAAGGTCCTAAAGTCTCCTTGCAGTCGCCTCAGTCTGCTTAAAGTCAAGCTCAATAATTAAATATTTTGCAGAGGTTTTTTGGTATTGTTTTGGAAAGATCTTAAAGTTTATTTCAAGTCACTTCAAAGTGTATTTAAAGTCAAGCCAAAGTCTACTTCAAATCGAGTTGAAATCTACTCAAGAAAAATGGTTGTAATTATAATGAAAAAATAACTTGAGGTAAATTCTAATTTATTTGGAACTCGTGTTGGTAATAATTGTTCGCTTTTTTTCTCTATAACACGATGGTCGGTTTCAATTTAACCGATTAGAGTTCAACTGAGATGTGGGGTCATGCTCCAAAGCGTATAAATTGAAACAAATACAGGATATCTTAATAAAAGGTAATTTATGTGTATATTCTTAGCGGTATAAAATGAACGTTTTATTGGTACTTATAAGGAGTCTAGATGATTTCTGAGTTGTCTATGAAGAAATGTCAAGGACCTTGTTCGTATTATTTACGTAGGTATCAATCAGAATATTTTCTTGTGGTTATTAATATTAATACTACACAATATTAATTTGGCTTTGTATCAATTATTTAATGTCATGATTGATTAGAAAACTCTTTGATAAAATCTAATGGAATCTTTCCTTAATTCGTAGAGTCTAGACGAATATTCTATCAATATTTATCGCAAAATAAAATTCTATTAAACCTAAGCGATAAATAATAAATTATTTGTAATAAATTCGTACATTTATAAAATATTTATAAGTAATTTTTGAGAAAAATTAAATTGAATAAAAGCGATATACCATTCTAAAAAAATTGTAACAATTAAAAGAAATAAATTATGGGTTTTGCAACGTTTAATTCTTTGATATAAATATTTTTTTATTTAAAAATTACCTGGTATTTTCGAAATTGTTAAACCAAAATTCTAATACCCAACGCCATCTAAATATCGGTGATAAAATCATCAGTATGTTTTATGTAGAAAATATCTATTGCTTGTTTACAGTATTCTACTATACCACACTATAATTATTCAGTTGTAAATTACTAGTCATTTTTAAGCGGAATTAATTTCACAATGGGAAAATTTCTATTATTTCCTAATCAATTATTTATACATTTATTCACTAAACAAAACTAAATTGTTAAGATTACTGAATTAAAACAACAGTAGATACAGTCAATATTGAATAAATATCTAAATATTTAACTTATTAATACATTATTTACTTACTCGTAGTTCAATTAAATGCATACACTAATGAAATTAATTTGTTTTTCTCGATAATCCTTTATCGCACCGAAATTTTCGGAATTGCTATTTAAATAATTGTTTATTAAAGTCCATCCATAAAATCGCCTAATAACCCCATCATTAATTTAACGCGATTTATTTTCGAAATGAGCTGCCGAAAAATTGAAATTCTCCTTGCGCTTTTCCATCTCGTCTCGGCTGTTTTTACGGACTGTTAATTAAAATAAATAGCGGTTACCTACCTACAGCTCGTCAGGTTAATTTCATCGATGTCGTAAATTTTCGAAACGTCGCTTTCACGCTCGTTATTCCAAATTTATCGTTCAATTTTTCCATAATATTCCAAAAAAGTGGCACTTTCGGGCAGCGCCTGCCACTGTTTTTATTATAATTCAATTAAATCCGCCGCATATTCGTAGAAAGATAAAGAGATTCGAAACGGACGAATTAAATTGAAACATTCATCTTTTGCGCTCTAGGAAAATTAAAACGCGCCGATATGTCGAGCAACAAAAGCGCGAAAATTTATAGACGTGTCTAATCGGTATAAATTAATAGAATTGCGACCAATTAAAGAGCCGGTCGTTAATTACGCCGATGGTAAATCAAAGTGTTCGAAAACTCGTTCGATTATCTATCGAGGGAATCGAACCTCTGTTGTTGATCCTGATTAAGTAATTATATGGTTCGCAGGTTTTTTTTAATCTAATACCAATTTCTTGTAATTTAAATTTTGGTAGGTACAGCTCGAGAGGAATATCTGGAGAGGGTTAAGTCATATGCGCAGTATATTAGATCAAACAAAACAGCTCATTTTTATCGTTTATTCTATTCTCAAAACACAAATGTTAGGTTATACAATTACAAAACTAATTACCTAATTAACTAATATAATCGAATTTTCTGTAGCGACTTATTTAATAATTGTAAGGCCTGTAATAGTTCTCATTGTCCTTTTTGTAATTGTAGTCCTTGTGCCAGCAATGGCAGTCGGCGAATTTGGGAAACAGTCCGCCTTGATTGATGCATTCCCCGTATTTGTAGTTTTCCCTTTGGCAGTTATTCACGCAGCTAGATTGGCAATCGTGCTTGTCCAACGTTGTCCAGGTATCGGCGGAAACGGCCACCATTAGAACGCAAAATACGACTAAAATTTTCATTTTTTTCGAAATTTTAGTGAACTATACACCTCCGTGAATTATTATATTTTCTCACAAGTCAATAGGCACTATTCTAAAGGCGTCTGATGGACGGTTGAAGCACAAATGTCGACCAGGTAGCCGGGTCTCCGGTGTTATTTTTATTATTCTTGTAAGTTGAAGGCTTTTACGATTACCGGAAAAACCCGACTTGTATTCACTTCGCTGCGATCTGCTGTGGAATTAACAAGTTACGACTGTAAAAGAAGTCGAGAAGTTCGTGTTTGAACACAAACAAATGTTGTACACACGAGTTGAAGGTTATCAAAAAGTTGAAATTTCGCCAACCAGAGACGTATTGAAATTAAAACAATAATTGTTTTGACTATTTCAATTTCCTATTCCTATAAGTAAGAGATGTTTAATTGAATTTTGAAATGCATCTTATAGACAGCATAAACAGTTTTTTTTTTCATGATTATTTCTGTCCTCTACAATTCTACTCAGTCCACAATTAATAGTTTCGTGACAATTTAAATATACCTCGTGATGCGAATATGTTATTATTATTTTATAAATTATAAATATTTCCTGACTTTGGATCCAAGAAAAACACCAGGTCCACGAACTTTTATTAGCTTTGCCGTCTGTATGTTTTATACGGAATATTAAAAAATGTATTCAATATTTTCGAAACGAACCCACTTCTCTCTAAATTACCGAAGGTTAAGAAAATACGGGCTCGCGAGATATTTATTCGCAAAAGTGTCTCGTGCAATAATCTCGTTTTTAATAACCGTAGATACAATTAGCGGCGTTAATATGCCCGCATTATAATAATTATAGAGCGCTCTCGAATATTATCTCCTTTCAAATAAAATTTACCTCGACGTGACAAGTGAAGCAATCGGAATTTTATTTGGAATCGGGTCAATTAAATACTAAAATTATATGTTTTTAGTGCGAATCTTGGTTACAATGTATGCTAAATAATTCCATCTATTTTGCAATGAATGTTGACTCGGTATTTTCTTTCAAAAAATGGCTTATTTTCGGGTTGAATTGTGTACAGAAGCCGCAACAACTCGTGCTGATCACAGCGAGCGCTCGTAATTCAAGAGCTTTAGCATTCTCGACGGGGTGCGTGTATTTTAAATAAAAAAATTTATATTCTTTTTAACAAGTATCGAATTTATAGGGATCCAAAGCGACCCATGATTTATAGAACATGCGATACACGTATACTCTATGTATGGCCAATTTAAGTAGTGTTGCTTTCATAAATTTTCACATAAGTTATTTATTACGGGCCTAAAAGGATTTAAAAATGGTTTTTAAAACCCGAAAAAAGTAAATTTAATCAGTAAGGCAGATACATGCAGGTGCAGATTTATTATTCCCTAAAAATTATTTATATTATTTGCAACAGGCAACTATTAAACTAAATTTTTAAATAGAAAATGACCTCTACAAAATGACTCTTTTCATACACATACAGACGCTGAGTCTAGCAACAAAAATAAACAATAAATGTGCGTATTAGTAAACGATTGAATAACGAATATACATGGAATCTAATTAGTAATCGCGTCATCGTTCACTTGAACACATGTAACCAATTATATTCACTAATGGGCTACATTGAACTTAATAAACGAGGAAATTTATTTTTAGATATTTCTTTATTGCACATCCAAAATAATATCGGGTTTTTTAAACCAATTAATGCATTAATTATTCCTCTTTAACTATATTTCTTGTATTGCTCATAGATGAGAATAATCAATTTAGTTACCTATAAGTTAATGTATCGAGGAAATATCATGCACAGAAATCGCAAGGTAAAATTTAACGAAGGCATGTAAAATCGACCCGAGACTTTCGATAATTGATTTTCGAAATGGCACGTAATTGAAATAATTCAACGCGCATGTTATTAAGTATGCTAATGTGTCCGATCCGAAACGAATAAGAAAAAAACGATGAGAATTCGCGTGCAATTAAAGGGCCCGAGAAGGCGTCGCTCGTTGTTGAAACAACGGCGTAATTGCTGAGAATTTCGGCCCAATGTTGAAAAAAAATTTAAATTACAGGTGTACTCGTTTACAAAAAACGAAGTAAATTACCTACCTACATTGTGAATTAATTGATAAATAATCGCATTTAAAACAGTATACTCGATCGTAGATGAAGTATTGATCAGGATGAATCAAACTAATATAAAGCAGCAAGTGCGAAAACTTCCAAAGGTGCTCCATCGAGTTTTGAATCAACTTAAAGACAATTCGCCATTGCCTATATGCGCTCTAGATCGCAGATAAAATAAAAAGAAGAATTTAAAATTCAACAAACGTTCGGAATTAAAGAGTCCAAGGCTCCTTGGCGAATTTATTATTTTACCAGAGCCGGTGACTGTGAGGTCGATGCGTTATTAAAATGAGACGATTATTGGCGAGATATATCCACCAATAGCGACTTTCCAACGATCCAGTTGGTATGATTGATTATCCACGATTCGAATGATATCTGCCTCTTTTATTTTACAAAAATTTCTCTTCACTACCATTAATTTGTATTACCATTTGATCACAATATAAACTCAATCATTGTAAGCAGTAAGGATAATCAAAAATCAAGGATTTCTTATAATAATTTTCGTTCTAAATACACAGCAATTTCTTTAATATTTTGATAAGTACCATTATACACCCTCGAGCTGACATGAAATTAAAGTGTAATTTAATCGTTAATTATGTAAATTGTTTAATACAGCTAGAGCATTTTTACCATGTAAATCTTGCGTATAACGAGCAAGAAAAGTAGCTGATGAACGATGAAAGGTGGGCTGTAAATCCTTATTAAATCTAACGTATATTTGTGCGAGATTATTTCATCGCTCTGTATATTGTAAAATATACATCAGGTTTCGACATAAACGTATATTATATTTCATAATTTTCTGATCGACGTCGAGATAGCGTTAAAACATAAACCGAGAAAATAAAATAAAAACGGAACGCTCTTATTTTAGAATTATCCACTTGTTAACTAAAATTTTTTTTAACGGCTTTTCATAACTGTTATTATTTTTTAGTCGCAATATTATCCGTCGTAAATTTCGTTTTTATGGTTGTTTATTAATGCACTCGTTAATATATGGAACGAGGCAGTTGCATTTTTATACTTGCAATCCTCGTAGGTATACCTACCTCTTTATTCCATTATCCGGTAATTTCAATGATGGCATGGTTAAAAAAATACAATTTTAATTATACATACTTCAAAATCGTAAGATTTTAGTGTAGATTTTACGAAAATTCAAGGAGAATCCAAGAGGGCAAACAATATACGTTATAAATTCAGTAAGTGCAAAGGGAAATCGTGATTTTGGTTGAATATAAAGTTATATTACACTAAACTAATCAATCAGGCATCAGTTAGTTAAATGTGTATGCTTGTTTATTATGGTTTTTTGTGGACTTCGGCGCGTAATGACTCATTTCAATTTATTTTACTCCCGCAATTTTCCAAAATCTTCGATATTTTTAGAACTTAGTTTAAATATCGGTTCCGTCCAATGTCTACAAATCGGATCTATTTATACAATTTAATAAATCTCTTATTTACATTTGCGGGACGGATGTACAAATTTATAATTTATTTTAATATATTTTTTCCCATTTTTTTAGTTCCATATTTTAGACCCTTATTTAACAGAAAAAAAAATCTTCCCTCAAAATTACCATTCAATTTATATCAATTGTTATAAGTTCCCGAAGTATCCTCAATTATTATTTGTAATCGCCGGGTATTCGTTAATCGGTAAATTGGTTGAGGTTATTTTCGCCTTTTTAAAAACGTGAAAAAAAATTGTATGAGGCGAGAGAGCCGGCTTGGGCTATCGCGATTTGCTTGCCGTGCCACCTCCAACGCGGCTGCTCCTTGTCGGAATGAGAGTTTCAACAGTTTACATTTATGTAGTAGTTTTTGTACTTACATAAAACGATTCCGTGTGTTTGTGTGTGTTTGTCGTGTGTTTGCGGGTGTTTTGTGATATCGACAAGTTCGGATTTAAGGCGATTTGTAGGGGTGTTTTCTAGTGAAAATTTGATATAGTGTGCGGTAATATCTGCGGTAATATTGGTAATTTGTCTGTGGTGTCGTGTTTGATGGTTGCAATGTACAAGTTTCTTTGAAAAAAAGCTTCTTAAATATAGCAGATAATTCGTGGATGTAGTTTAAATATAAATATAGGAATAGTTTTTGCAACTACATTATACTCAGATCAAGTAAATGAAAGAATTCTCTTCATCACAAAATTGAGTTTGTTACATATTTTTGTGTATAAACTTTTGAATTTCAAATTTTAACCTAACTAACTTGGCTTAAAATCTCTTTACTGACAAATTACGTGACAGCTATCTGAAGAAGTTAATTTAGAATATATAGACAGAAAAAATTAACACAAAATCGTTAAAAAAATACTTTCCATCTAAATTTTTCCGTCTACTCCATATACATAAGAAATTTTATACAAATTCTCGTAAAATATTCATAATCAATTTTAGCCAAATTGAAATTTCCTGCTTAGTTGCTAATGAATTATTATTAAAACAAAACTCGTTTGTTATATCATCGCATTTACCTATTTTTTTATGACATCTTTGTATGAACTGCGGGCAATCAAATGAAATTATGTAACCTTGAACGTGTACATATACACGTTATTATACTAACTCGGTTGGCTGGACATCCGTATAAATTAAAATGCCGGCAATTTTCGAATTGAAAGAATCCTTAATGAAGATCGCCACGTTCACAGAATCCTAAAATACCTATCTTCACTGGTATTTTCTCGTAGCGGCAACACTGCCTAAATTAAACTATCGATTCGAAAAATCTTTTTGTATCAGAAAAGTTCCTTTCCTTCGGTTAATAATTTTCAATGTTCGTTGAAAATATACGAAATAAAGGTAGGTATTGTAAAAATGTAATAAGTAGTAAAGCGAAATAGCAGGAAGCAGCCAAACAGTCTGACCCGTACATTGGCAAATTAATAAGCTTTCGGATTTAAAAATAAGTTGTTTGATGAATCAGCGAATCGCGTGCCAAGAAAAATCCTTGAAAATTTTCAGGGAATTTTCTCCTTCACCTACACCGCCTACTGAAATACCCGTATAATTGTAGTTACCTGAAAATTTGAATTTAATTCACATGATTTTGGAATCGGAAGCTTCTATTTAGATGCAGGATTTAAATTTTTACTGATAATTTATGCCTTATAAA